TCTGGTTAGACAGATTGTGAAAGCACCACAGACAGCTGTTCATATTAATTAAACATCTATTGTGCCATTTTTCAGAAAGAGATATCACTTTCTGAAACAATTTTCCCTTCAAGAAAGCAAGAATTACCCTAACAAACTTGAGGACATATCAGCATAGCTTTCAAGAACTGTTAATTGTGTCTTCTTCCAGCCATTCTTTCTTCTAGTTCTGCCCTTTTCCAAATGGATACAATATATTTATGATCTTGAACTAACAAATTATCAATACTTCTTTTAAATGGCTTACTTCCTGGGCTAATGTTTGTACTTCTAAAACCCAATAAATATGCCCTGCACAGTACCTACATTGGTCTTCAGTACACAGTACAGTGGTCTTCAGAATAACTTCCTTTATAACCATTAATATTTGTTTTCTTCAACAGATCTAAGATGCCTCTCTTCAGAATGGTAGTCACAACTCAACTTGCTGTGTTCCATATTTCTCTCTAACCTGTAGCTGGTTGCTATAAAGATTTGTCAGAGAACTTTTCTCTGGCTTCAGCTGAACTCTTCAAAGATAATTTTATTAGGCAGTTTGAATTGTTAATGGCATTTTATTGAAGTACATCATCACAAGCCATTACAGACTTCACAACAGTTTGCTTATAGTCTCCTTAATTTTCCTTCTACATTCTCAGCTGCTGATAATCTGTTCTACCTCATTTATTTTATACATCAAACTCTTTTCATGTACAGGGTATTCTAATCTTCTGTCATATATCTCATGAGGAAGGAACCTTGGAATCCATACTTATAGAAATTCAGCTCATTCCAAGGATTTAGGGTTTTTGCACACCCTATTTTTAACATGTCAGATGCGTTATATGGAGAAGACAGAACTCCATTTTAAATTGATGTTTATGGGGGCAGGATATGGATTCATATCTACCCTCCATTTACAGCAGACCTCTTTTTGATGTTGGTGGGAGGTTTGCCTAAAGATCAAGGGAAAAATTATTTTTTATGAAAAAGCTTTAAACTTGTACTTATTTTATTTCTAGAAGATTGCCCTATTCATTACCACTCATTCACTGGGAAAACCATTTTTACATTTAAGATTGGACTGAATGGAATTACCTAGTTTGGGATAGTCCTGTTTTGAGCAGGGGATTAGACTAGATGACCTCCTAATTTTTCCATGAGTGCTGCAGTTCTTGATCTTTTGTTCTCCTGTTCTCATGAAAAATATAAGGGACATCTTTTCTCTGGTCTTTTTCCCCACAGCAACTCACCCCTGCTTCCCAATCTATGAGCTAGTTCCAACCCATTTCACTTGCAAAAGCAATAGCCAATGATATAATCCAGGGAGACCCAACTTTTTTGGCAGGCATGCCACAAACTAAGCCCCACATCCTCCCCAAGTGCCACTCCAGTCCCCTTCCCCTGCCTGACCTGCTGCTTTGCTTTCTGTTCCCTGCTCTGTCTTCCACTGTTCTCCTTGATCTGCCATGTGTCATACACAGAAGGTTTCCCATGCCACTTGTGGCATTGCGTGCCACAGGTTGACCAGCTGATACAATCGGTATCAACCTTCTTGTGTCATCATCAATGGCATACAGGTTCTGGCCCAGCAGGGTGAATGGGATAAAGAAACTTCACCTCTCTCCAGTGCAGTTTCAGGCTGTCTGCAGGCTTGGGAAGACAAATACTGCGTTGGTTTTTCTCCATTTATTCTTTATACCATAAGGGCAAAAGTCAAAAAGAAAAGTTGAGCCTCACTTGCTGTGGGGCTACATAAAGAACAAATCAGCTATTTTGGATATACGCATCTTAGATAGTGCTTATCCTAAATTTCCCCACACTATTTAAAAAATACATCAACTTGAAATTAAGCCTTTTTTCTTTTTTCTTTTTTTTTTTTAAGATGAGTTATTGTAATTAGTAAAAAGCTCAAATTATCATATTTCACCAGTGTCCAAGGGAACATAGTTTACAGTTTTTTTGAGCTTTTGAATATATTTTTTTATCTTCTTCACTCTCCCTCTTATTTTGTAGGGACATGGGAAATTGATTAGAATGAAACAACTGACTATTCAACAATTCTGCCATTTACAGAGGGCTTTCAAGAGCAAGAATTATCCAAACAAGAACTTGTTTTCTCTAATCTTTTTAGTTGAGTGAAATGTGGTTTTTTTAAGTTTCTCCCTTTTTTAGTTAGAGCTCAGAAAATTTCTCCCTCTTCTATCTATCTCCAAAGAGCATTTTCTGATCAGCATCTACAGCTGAACTCTTCTCAGCTGAAACAGGAGAACTACAAAATAAAATCAGCAACAGCTGTCTAAATGACAACCCTAAGGGTGACATACAAGAGTAAAAATATAATCATATGCTTTGTTTATCTTTTTCCCCTTTTATAATAAAAGACTGAACAGTTTAGTTGTTTTTTGGGGTTTTTTTAAATAGCTCCAATTTTCTACTATTACAAATTCTGTTCTTGACAATCACAAGAGACTGTAGTGATTGGAGAATTACTAAAGTATCTCCAGATACTAAAGAGCTGAACAGTTGAAGAGGGAAGGTTATTTTCAGTGCATCTTTCAATGCCTTTTTTAAAAATTCCAGTAACCATACAGCACTTTAGGAAAAGGATGTCTTCAAAAGAAGCCATGCCTGCTTAGTCACAAAACAACTCTGATACATACAGCTGTCCACTCGCCACCATACAAGATGTTCAGCAATAAATAAAATTAGACCAGACCCCACTCACCAGGCTTTGACAGTTGCTAACTGCTTCTGCTTACAAAGAGGAGGCAACAGCCCTTTTAAAAAAAATCTCGTGTGTGTCACTTAACTACTTTCAGATCTTGATCACCACATCAGTAGTTATTCAGTTAATTAATGTGCTTTTCTGGCAGGCTGGGCCATTTTGTTCACTCAGTGAATAAACCTGCAAGTTCTAATTATGCAATGTTGTGTCCTGCACAGTTCCCTGCTCCCCACCTGAGCTTATTGACTAAATATCTTGGTTTACTAGGACAGTGCTGCTTCTCTGGAGATGTCATAACACATTGATAGTTTATCTGCTGTTTGTCCCTTGGTTGCAATTAGCCTTCTCTACTGATTGAGCCCAGTTCACCTTCTCTATCCTGTTCCTTTCTTGCACAAGAGCAAGTCAGGTCCCACCTAAGGGCCTGACTTGAGAAAAGTAACTTGTGAAGCAGTTCTGTAACTAAGTTAGGAACAAATGGAGTCCCAACTAATCTTCCAAGACCATTAAAAGGCACTGTGATAGAGGAAGGTTGCAGGTAGCTTGGGCTGGGACTGAGGATTTAGAACAGTGGTTCTCAACCTCTTTAGACTTGAGGCACCCTCAGTAAACTCAGAGCTCCCCTTGACAGACTCAAGGCATCCCTTAGAAAACACCAGCGCCTACTTTTCACTTGCTTTTTAAACTGCAGAAAAATAGAGCAATTCTTCCATTGCAAAGAACTCAGACCACAACAGGTCAGAATGTTGTAACACCATGGATTCCTATTTTAAATCTATGGATTTATCTTGTGAATCACGTTTGCGCAGCTAACAGTGTTGTGTGGCACCTCACAGCGCCCATGGAAGGATCATAAGGCACCCCAAGATGCAGCAGCACCCTGGCTAAAAACACTGGATTAGAACTATGAAGGTTGAAATGGAAGAGAAGAACAGGGAAGGGTTAAGTGGGGATATGTTATCTAGGACAGGAGGCTGGGCCTGGAAAAGGAATGAAATGATTCAAGGAAACATGCAATCCATGAGGCCTTTTCTTTAACGATTGGCTCCGTCTTAAATCTCCTTGGGTGTCACTCACTTCCAAAGGCCGTTCTGTCCCCATCTCCACAGCTCCTGACTGGGACTTCTTGGAGGTACTCGTAGCAAACACATAATTTTAAGACTGACTTCATTCAGCTTTAATAGCTCAGATGACTGCAGTTCTTTAACGTTTTCCTCTAACCCTGTTTTTATTTGCTTAAAAAAAAGTCTTGCAAAGTAAAACTGAAAGGTGGTGACTGAGAACTTTTTTTAAGAGACTCTGTGATATATAATTCTCCAGGTGAAATGACAAGTTGAATTTAATTTCTAGAATACTGTTTGTAAAGAAAAGGGGTCTTTTGAAAAAATAGCATAACTTGGCAGTTCTGAGTATGAAAGTAGTCAGCCTTGAACTCATGTGCTTTCAGGAGCCAGAGGTCATGTCATATGCCATTTGAAAGATAATTTTCCCCAGATATACACTAAACTGTCAGATGTGACACTTCTTTTCATTCTTTGCTAGTATTGGTCTTGCTGTTTTTAAGCTGACATCTCTGCTAATATTAAAGAAATGACAAGTAAATATGAAACCACATGCATTCACTAGCAGGGCCAAGGGAATACCATCAATTTGAATATTACATTTCTGTCAGGAAGCTTTGTACCTACTTTGACAAGTGGTACAAACAACACCTGAAATAACTGCCACTGAAAATGGCTAGCAGGGAGGAAGGGGGGAAATCATGCATGGTTTCCAGTTCACTTGATTATTTCACTATTTCATTGTCTTATCAATCAATTTCTTATTGGCTTTTTACATATCAACAAGAGAACAAAAATATATACATTTTTAAGGATTTATTATAGGAAATTGTAGTTTAGCCCCCTCCCCTCCTTAATTTCTTTGTCTCTTCACTGTAAATTTTAAAAGAATATCCATGTCTATGATGCTTTCACGTTGTCTGAGCAGTGGTGGCACTTGCCTGAACAAGTGGAGCTGAGCACCACTTCATGGTCCCACTGGGATCTCTCCTTCTACCAGGATTACTGTGTTTGGCTCCCATTAACAACTGAGCATTTTATTCACTTTGTAAGACTGTTCACCAAAGCTTAGATTATACAAACTGAGCAGCTTTAAGAAAATAATCACAAATACAGTCTCTTTAAGGGGAACTTACCTTTGTGTATGACCAAGTTTAAATGAGTCATGTGTGTTTTCTGTTGTGTGTTACTAGGACACTTTGTTTCCTTACATCAGAGATAATGTCCAGGAGTATTTGCGTGTACACTGGGAAGAGGAGGAATGCCAACAGGACGTCAGCCTTCTGAGGAAACAGGTTGAGTAATTGAAACCACATTCTCTACTGCTGCCTTTACGTGAATTCAGAGTTATAATGACTACTTCTCTAATAGCATCATATACTGGGTCAAATCATGGAAAGAGTTAGATTGCCCCTGAAGAGCACTTACCTTCCTTGTGATCTTATTTTTGGATCTATAGAATGCACTCACCAGATATTCTTAATGCACGTGTACCTAAAATTCACAAACACTGACCAACATCATTCTGAAATAGATGCTGATCCCCACCTGCAGTTCAATCTAAGGATAATAATACACATCTTCCCACCATTGCTGAAAGTCAGTAAAACTTAACACCTTTCTTTAAATGTCACAGATTGGCTCAATTTTTGTTCTCAACTGGAGAGTAGATTCCAGACGAGCATCATCCTTTGATAACTGGTGGTACACACAAGAGGTGCTGTAGAAAAATAGGATAAAAATCTAGATGGGTACAACTACCTGGCTAGAGTTCCAAAATGTTAGTAAAAGCACTCAAGCAGTATTGGAAACGGTCTCTTTCTCTTCTGTAGTTGGATATAATCACTCTATATCTTCCTTCCTTTTTTGTGTCCTTGTGACAAGGTATTTGGTAGATTTTGCAGATTCATTGGAATCTGATGGGGCCTCACCATGAGCGCTTCTGCTATGGCCACAAATTTATGATCTGTGGGCTGTCAACCATGCACCTTAGCACCCACACCACCCCAGCCCCGTCTAGTCTTGCTGAGAACATTATTTCCAAAAACTCCTCTTGGAGGTTCCAGGCATGTTTTTAGGAAATAGTTCTAAGCAAGCAGGTCTGAGTACTCAGGTCCTGAGCCAGGGAAGCATTTAAGCATACCCATTGGAATGGTCATGTGCTCCAAGTTAAGTGCTTCAGTGGATCAGAACTAAAGTTCACTTTGTAGTCAGTGATGATGCTCAAGTCAGAAAAGCCTCAATCTTCAACCAAGAGAGAATCAGCAGTGCAGCCAGGACAAAAACATAGATGATCTTGCCGCCTCTTGTGGCTTTCTGTATGCTATAAAACGCTTAAACAACATGCATTTAGGTTTGTTTGTTTTTTAATTTTGTAGCAGTTAAATGTAGAATGAGAATATGCTCCTCATTAAACTACTGATTTTCCAACCTTACTCAGTGTGCTTAATTGCATTAGAACTGAACCATTAAAATTGCAATTAAAGTATATGTTAATATTAATAGGCCTGGTCTAGGTAAACATTCCCACAAGCAATTCACCAGGTACACCCATAAGCCCCATTGACTGTATGCTTGAAGTTAATCGCTGGTCTAAGTGCTGTCTTAAATAGGGATGGATTTATGCAGGAGTTCAGAATGCATCCTGAATCAGGCCTCCAACTGCCAGTTGCTGTGGGAGGAGTCACCTCTCTTTCTTTTTGGTTTGCATTTTCAAGGCTGAAGAGGATTCTAACTTGGCTGGAGTAGTGCCTATTCCTCCAGAAACTGGGACTGGAGAAGAGGATTCAGAGCGGGTTATCGAGGCTGTAGTAGATAATGTGCACTGGCAGATGTCTCTAGACAGAAAAACCACAGCATTGAAACAGCTGCAGGGTCACATATGGAAGGCAGCTTACAACTGGACAAGTGAAGGGAGAGTGAGTAATGTCTGTGTATGAAGTTTTTCCTTGGAGGAGACCCTGGCTATATTTTGCTAAACAAAGTCTCTTGTGTATGTGTATTGAAGCTGAGCAGCTCTAAGGGATGTTGAGGTCTTAACCATGTGTTTGTGGTCTTTTAAAAAAAAAAAAAAAAAATTACTATTGAGCCTGAAAAAAAAGCCTGGAATGCTAACAGTACTGGGGTCAAGATCAAATACTTTTATCAAGGAATGAAGTACAGCCATTGCTGCCTTCCAACCTGAATGCAAAATCTAAAATCAATTGTGTGCAATAGAGGATTTTAACATGGGACTGATGCTTTAAGATTACCTTGGGTTTCCAGCAGTTGTCCTAGTTAGCATGAAGGAAAAACTTTTTAAAGAGGGCAAGGAACATTTCTTCATTCTCAGTACACCAGGTTCTGCTGTATCTGCTCATATATTGTGCTTTCTGCTTATTTTTGCTAATAAGCAGAACAGTGAGGCAAGATTGTAGAAACTGTTGCAGGATTAGTGGGAAAGACAAAATGGGAATGGAATAGCTGAGAGGAAAATGCATGGTAGGGAGCTGAAGAGCAAGACAGTTCTGCTCCCACAATTAGGTATGGCCATCTTGTAACATTTGGTGAATCCACAGATGATAATCTCTTATGTAAATGGTAGAAGCCTTGATTCTTTTGTTTAAAGAGGGAGGTTGAAAATCAAGTATGTGATTCTCCTAGTTTAGCTTTAAAAAGTGTGATGTGTTTGAAGCAATGTTGGCTATCTGGAACCAAACCTTTCAAGATATTAGGCTTACCTATTTTTCTAAAGAAAAAAACCTGTGGAGACCCTCCTGGGTCACATTAGTAGTTTTGAGCATATGGTAGCAGTAAAACTAGTTGGGGGAGATTTAAGGAGGGAATGCAGTTACTATCAGAGTACTGGACAGAGATATTCAGAAATAAAGTGTTCTTTTCCATCTGCTCACGGGTCCTATTTGTGGGTTTACGATTGCCCTGATCCTTTGCCAGAGCCAGTGGCAAACTACAGAGCCAATTGCAACTACCCAAGATGCAAACGGTCTTACATCTTGTGTAGTTATTAACCCCAAGGCATAGTGGGTGTAAAAAACCTGGCAATCTGATTAAGTGGCACAGGTGTGAAAACACCCAAATTGCTGTTGCAAAGATCACTTTCCTGGCTTGTTGCCATGTCCCTTTCCTGCTTCTTTGCATCAGACATGTGTTTCTGTACTTGCTTTTGCTGTACTTGCTTTCCTGGCCTTGGTGCCTCCTACTAGCTCTCGGATTTTCTAGAGTACCAGCTGTTGGGTTCAGTGCCTATGATGGCAAATCTTCATCACTGATGGCAGCTGCTTCCATTTTAAGCAAATGCCTTCATGTTCTGTCCCCAACTGCTTGAAAAGAGATACCCATAAACAGACCTACATCCCCCAGCTCTCTCCTTAAAACTCTCCTCTGATGTGATGCCTACACAGCATGCTGCAGCCACTGGGCTGAGGCCACTGCTTACGTATTGGGCAGGATAGTCTGTTACCTTGTGTTCCTTGTCTGCCTCATTTTATACTTACTTTATAAAGCTCTTTAGGGCAGGGTGTGTCATCTCCTTCTGGGTTTCTGTAGCATCTAGCCTGCTGGGGCTCTCATCCATGAGTGCATAGGTCCAGTGAAACATGCAGCAATAGAACAAAGTAGTAGAGAATGAGGCTTCTATCAGCATGACACACTACTACTTATTTCTTCCCCCTCCTTTTTCCCTTTACACAGCTTCCAAATCTAATTCTGCAGGGCTAAAAAAAACAGCTAGTTGAGTTAGCTTCTAACTGATTTCTTAACTATGTGAATTTGGTAAGAGAAACAACATGAAGCACCTTGATCCGACTATGAAACCAACTGAAGGATGAAACTTGGAGCCTCTTGCCTAGAAGGAGGAATGTTTGCTGATGCAGGGATGCTGCACTGCCATCTACTGGATGATCAAGGAAAGGCTCACACGCAAGGGGGCAGGGGTGGCTTAAGATGAAAACACCATTGCCAAACCTTTCAGCATTCTACTGGACCCTTGCTGCTTTGAGATGCTCAATTCTTGATAGAATTTGGCATAGCTTCATCTCTGGTTCAGCTACTGCAGAGTTAAGATGGGGATTAATCTGGCTCAGGACAATTACTGTAACGGCTTTCCTTCCTTCAGGAACCCTTTTCCCTTGCCTCTTTTTCTCCACCCCAAATAGTTTGTAACAACTGCTCTGATAGATCCTGTGGTTGCATCCTCATCTCATTCCCCCCCCTCACAGCCTGCTTCAGCTGTTCAGATCCTTAAATGGAAAGGGTTCATTCTGTCCAGCAGAAGCAGCCTCTGCACAGCTTGCTACAACTGCTTGAAAGTAAAGCAAAGGGTATTAATTCTGCTGGGCAAACCGTCTTCAAAACCTGAAGGTTGAGTATTTTTTTCTGAACCCTCTTCCTTCTCTCTCCTTCCCTAAAAACAAGTCACCAGGCTGTTGAGTTTGGAATGTTTTCCCTCTGCCTTTCAAGTGTAATGGTCCAGAGGAGCCTGCCAGGCATCTGAAACACGTGTTTGTTGCTACTTTCTTTGCAGCTGTCAAAATGGATCATTTGTTAAGGTTGAAGTAAAGTATATTGTTTGCTACTGAAATAAATTTCCCCAATGGAGAAGTAGTGGGCAACTTTAAAATAACCAAATATTACATTTCTACATCAACAGTCATAGAAAGAAACCTTTTCACATAGTCTGTGCTATACTTGTCTTGTTCAGTCCCCTGCAGGTTGTTGATAATGACAATATCTAAGATAATGACAATATCTTTTTCTGCAGAGTCTTTGAGGATGTGGTTCCTGCTATCAGAAAGTGGAGGGAAGCAGGGATGAAGGTGTATATCTATTCTTCAGGGAGCGTGGAGGCACAGAAGCTTCTGTTTGGATACTCTACAGAAGGTGATATTCTAGAGGTAGATAAGACTATAGCCTTATTTAAAGCTGCTTCATCTACAACACAGGGATAATGGCCCCTTCCCAGAGGTGGGGCAGTGATCTCCTTCGATTCTGTCTGAAGTACAAGGCATTCCTAGTCTCTTTTCTGCTGTACCAAATTACAGAAAAGTGTAAGATGGTGGAACGATGAGAAGCCAGCCTGAGCTGCAGTTATTGAACTTAGTTAGTCAAAAGCCACAGTTTGGGAGACTGTGTCCTTAAGTTGGCCTTTTCAGTTCCTGTTGTACACTCTTCCCATCAGCAAGGGCACTGCTAATGTGAAACAATGTCAGGTAGCACAACTGAAAGTTTTTTGGGGACAGACTCCTCCCTTCTTAAGCCACCCCTGTAAATAAACCTCATAAGAAATCTAAGGATTGGTGTGCAGCAAACCTAACTCCACTTTCACAAGGCTCATAAAAGGTACTCCCTTAATCGTATTCAAGGAAAGGCAATTAAAAAATAAAGCTGCTGGTTGGGCTTCCATGCCTGGAGAGCTCTAGATACTTACTATTTCAGCACAGACAGCATCATATCCCGTTCAGCCATGCAGCTTAGCCCTACATGTTGAATTCTTCTAGTTGCATGGTGGGAACAAGGGGGAAACCTATTAAGGCCACAGTTTATCTCTGGTTTCTAGAATTAACATCCTCCTACAAAGCTGCTTCTGTTTTAACCTTTCAGCTCTTTGACGGCCATTTCGATACCAAGATAGGTCACAAGGTAGAAAGCGAGAGCTACAAGAGGATTGCAGCAAGTATTGGATGTTCGACTGATAACATTCTCTTCCTGACTGATATCACTCAGGGTAAGAGGTTGAGCTTTCCTGCCATTTCCCACATTACAGCCAGGATAAAATGTGATCTTTACTTGCTATATTAGGTAATTAGCACCTCAAGAGCCACTTGGAGAGGCCTACAAGAATCCTTGCTCAGCCCCTACATCCATTGGGATGCCCCTTTAAGTTTCATCTCATCATTTGATATACATCTCAATCCAGGCAAGAGGAGCAAGTGTTTTCTGTTATGGAAACACTGATTTCCTCAAACTAAAAGAGTGATAGGCCTGATCCTATGTACTTTGTGCATTGCTCTGACATGTACAAAGTATATGGTTGGTGAAAGTAAACTTGTTAGTTGCCAAGCAACATAGAACTGTTCCCCAGCCTTCACCATACATTTATTCCTTTTAGAAATATAGATCAGGGTAGCCAGCATAATGCCCAAGTAACCGATTAGAACGGTGATTCTCAACCAGGGTGCCACAGTACCTTAAGGTGCCATGAAATGAAGGGTGCCACAAAAATATTAGGTATGCAAACACCTACACAATTCCCAAGATAAACCTAGAGATTTCATATAGGAACCCATTCTGATATGCTGTGGTCTGAGTTCTTTACAACATAATTGCTCTGTTATTTTTCCATAGTCAAGACTTGACTGAAAGCTGAGAGCTGGCATTTTTCAACAGGTGCTTTGAGCCTAAAAAGGCTGAGAACCACTGGATTAGAACAAGTCTTTTCATGTGTTTTAAGGTGCCTCAAAATTAGGCAACAGAGGTCTATTTGTCAGTACCACAGACCTTTAAAGAAAATGGGAGGTAGAGGACAACAGAAATCCTGAAGGGATGCTTAGCACTACCATTAACAAGTCACTGTAGAATTAGCATGCTGTTTCCTCAGCATGGGCATGAGTCATCAGCCAGGCAAGTCTTAACAAATAGCTTTTCTTCAAAGTACACCATTACCTTTGGGAACCCTGCAAGAATTGGGGATTCAAAAGAGGGAAGTAAGTTTGCATAAGCTTAGTCCTGGCAGCAGGCAGCCTCTCCACACTACACTGGCTAAACCTGTACCAGGCAGTAGGCAGGGTAAATTTGTACCTTATAGACTAAATCAGAGATGCATAAGCTTTTATAAACAGCAGCTTACCTCAGACTGTCAGCATTAGCCCACCACACAGGAAAAAAAAACCCCATCCAGTCCTAGATGTATCCCCACTCTGGAGGCAAGGAAAAGTGGAGGCAGTGTGGAATAATTCTTTCCTGCCTCCTGAGCAGGCTTGGGCTGGTACCAGGAGCATGCAAAAGGCCTAAGCACCACTTCAGATTCACCTGAATGGAGCATGGAATTTCAACTTGACAAGACTGTGGAAAGCACGTGGGCAGAGTTCTGGGCTCTGAATGCTACTAACCAAACACAAGTTTTGAGGGAAAAGAGAATAGGGCAGAGCCTGGTGCTCTAAGGGAAGGGGAGGAGCCTGTAGCAATCCTCAGCAGGAGAAACTGTTCTGCCCTTTGGGACAGTGAATTCTGAGGTCATGTTAGGGTCACTGAAGACTACAGCTTGGCCACAGCCCTTGTAAGATGTACTAGTATTTGCTCTACCACATAGTTGGTGCTATGACAGCAAACAGGCCTGTCCTCTCTGAAGGGGCATTTAACAGGAAAGACTAGTAGGTGCGCCCCCCACTTGCCTTCCATTTACTCCTGTTAGAGTGCAGAGAGACCTGGTTTCACTTTAATCCTGTTAAAATTTTTGGGATGCCTTCTAAAGCTGAGAAGCATAGGAGGTCTGTGCACTGGAGAGCCACATTTCATGTTCCCTAAAAACTCTCTCTTCTTTCTAGAGGCAAATGCTGCAGAAGAAGCAGATATGCATGTGGCTGTGGTCATCAGACCAGGCAATGCAGGATTAACAGATGATGAGAAATCATATTACAGTCTTGTCACATCTTTCAGTGAACTGTGCCTGCCATCTTCTCCTTAGAACTTTTACATGACTAGAAGACTAAACTGTGGCTGATGAAATTGACCTTTTCGCCCTGGTTAGTTATGTTGGTAATAAGAGTGTTTTGCTTTCTTACATAGGTATGGCATCCATGACTTGTTCAGATGTTGAGATCAGTATATTTCAGATGGGATTCCTAGAGCAGTAAGACTGAGGCCTACAAAATTAAGTCAGCTGGAGTTGTGAGCAGTTTGAGGAAGCAGCATCTAAAAAAGTTGCTTTTGCTTAGCTCCCCTAACAGGGGAATTGCTACCAGAGGAAAACTCTACCAGATACCTAGTTTTGAAAACTTATAAACAGGATGTGCCATCTTTACAAATAAAACATTCTGTGAAGAAAGCATTTCTCACTCCAGATGACTTTTGGCTCTTACAAGGAAACACCTTTCTCTGGAAATAGGGGTAATAAATCATTTTCTGGGTAAGGAGAAAACAACGTTAAATTAAGTCAATTTTCTTCCCTAATAAGTTAAACTATGTATGTTCAGAATAACCAAAGTTAAATACAACATATAGACCACGATACTGTTGTTTTGATCTGTCACAGTCTGGCAACAAAGAAGTTCTTTAGCCTGAAGTGAGTGAACGACACTATCTAAACCCTATAGCACCACCCGTTAGGTACAGAGGCACACTGCAAGCCTAGCAAGGAAATTAGGCTATATATAGGGTTGTTGTTTTTTTAAAAGAAATATAAAGATAAACTCACATGTACTGATACTGTGCAACATTGAGCTCCAGAACCTGCTGCATGCTAGAGCAGATTTTACCTTTGTAGTATTTTTAGCAATAATGCCTGAAGACTCTCAAGAGGCTACAAATTGGTTCCCTACCCTATAACCCAGATCATCTGGGAATAGATATTTAACAGGAATACTTCACAATGGTCATTTTCTACTGTTTACTGACAACAAATTTGTTTCAGAAAACAACTGTGGAACAGCACTGCTTAAACTGTGCTGACTTGTACAAGGTGTTCATGTAGCATTTCCTACTGTGGTGAATAAAACATAATTTTGACTTATTAATGCCTAACACCATTCAGTATCTGTCATTCCACAGAGTTAGAGCTCCATCTTGAAGCAATTCAGAGTCCTTGCCCCAACTTTGTCTAGGAAACCATTCCAAAATTTAATTCTGACTAGTTAGAAGACTTCTAAAATTCCATCATTCATTCATTGTTATCTAATTTAAACAGCTCTTCTCCCTCCCTGATTATTGTGCTCCATAAATGCATTTTTAAAGAGTAATCTCAATTTTTCTTTTCCTAAATTAAATGAGCAAAGCTCTTTTAATTTCCACCTAGAAGACAGGTTCTCCACTCCCCTAACCATCCTAGTAACCCTTCTCTTTACCTGTTCCTTTTTTAAATTTATCTTTTTGAACATGTGACCAGAACTGCACACAGTATTCTAAATGGAATCCTACCAGGGCTTCATTCACTGATACTAAGGCTTCCATGTCTCTACTAAAAATATTCCACTCAATACACCCTAACATTTTTTCATGATTGCATCATACTGATGACCAGGGATCCTGGTTTTCTCTGATAAAAAATAAATAAATAAATCGCAAATTCTCTGATAAAACAACCCAAAATCCATCATTAAATTAAAAGCCTCCTGCAGCCCTCCCCCCACCCAAGCCCTGCTGGTGCCCCTTACTGCCCCCACAACAGCCCCCCCACCCTACTTGTGCCTCTTTCCCCCACCCACAGCCCCCATCCCCCAGCTACCCGGGCTATGGGACTAGGGCCCCAAGTCTGCAGCTCCCTGCCCCCAACAGCAGGCAGCTGTAGCAAAAGCAGCATGGAGCCGGCTCCCCCACTGCTCTGCCTGCTTGGGTGAGGGCAGGGCCAGCTCCTGCCCCCCCCAGCCCTGCCAGTACCCACTAGCCATGATCCACAACTCCCCAGCCCTGCCAGAGGGGCCCCCAGCAAGCCCCACTTACCTCAGGCTCCCGGAGCAAAGAGTGAAGCTGAGCTGAGAGGAGCTGTGGCTGACTGAGCGCTTCAGGCCCTGCTCTTCCGCCACCCCTCCGGGCAGGGCTGGGGGTTTCCTGCCCTGTTTGCAAACAGCTCTTGCAGGCTGCAGCTCAACCAGCCTGCAAGAGCTGTTTGCAAAAGCAGGGAATCCGCAGGTTTTTCTGCTAAAAGGAGAAATCCGCGTTTTCTCTGATAAAAAGGGGAAATCCGTGGTTTTCACCGTTTTTCCGTGGAAAACCAGGATCCCTGCTAATGACTCATGGTCATCTGTTAATAAGCCAAGGTCCTTATCTTCTGCCATCATTTCCAATCTTCAAACCCTAGTTTTACACCACAAATTGCTGGTATTGATTCCTAAGTGCATGACTTGGCACTTCATCCCATTAAATTTCAGACCCTTTCTACTGATTCACTTTACAAGTTTATTTGTTTCTTCCTGTATATAACAATCCAGTCCATATTTAACCCACATGAAAAAAATACTTAAATTTTTTAATTCATTAAGATCGAAAGAGGGGAAGGGCTGAAGCCTGACTTATGACTTTTGAACACTTGGGTTGGCAATACCAGAAGCACAAAGTAGAAGGGAATTGTTTTATGTAACTTTCTGAATGCAGACCAGTCCATGCATAGTATTTGGCAAGTAGGGTTCATTATGCCACATGGGACCTCCATTAATTTTGATGTACCCTGCGCTGTACTTGCAAATCCAATAGCAGAACCGAGCCCTACATTGAATGCCAATATCTGCCTTACAAAAACTGAACTGAGATTGCAATAATTTCTCTGTATTGCCATCTACATTGATATCATTCAAGCAGAGAAGACTTTTCAAAAGTAAATTTTAATCTTGATAATGCATTTTCTCCTGGGAAAGCAACAGATTACAGAGTTCAGGGCCCAACCTCAAGGTAGGTTCAGTTAATCTGAGCAAATCTATAGCCTGTTTTAACAAATGTCTGTGTTTAAATGTACCAGATTAGCAACCATTAATACTGGATCTGTATCTAAATGGTCGAATAGTCCTTGAACCTAATTAGCATTGATTTGCACCAGTGTAGCATTACTCAGAGAAAATACCTGACCACACCTTATTCCTTTCTTCATAACAAAACCATGCAGAAAAAAAGTGGGAGTGGAAAACAACAACTTCATTTTCTCCATAAACGAAATTTATTTTGTGGTCATGTTTCAGTGTGTATCAGTCATCATTCAGCTGTACTGAAATGTGCCATTAGAAATACATTAAGAAATGTACAGTATATCACCAAGCAGCTGAAATGCAGCTTGGCTTGCATATAGTAGAAGGAAAAAAAAAATCACAAACTTCATTATTTTTCTTTGAGAAAATTTCAAAATACAAAATGATAAAACAGAAGTATTTGATTTTAAAAAAAATGTCACAGTGGACTATTTACAGTAAAACACCTTTTAACAAAAACATTTATGCTTCTCTGTTCAATATGCATGTGTGTGTATGCGATTCCCCATGTATGTCTGGTTCCATCTCACCTTCCCCTAACTGACAAAAGGAAAGTTACCTGGATTGGCTTTAAACCAGCTGCGAGTTTTCCGCTAGTGTGGTAAAATCACTACAGATAAACTTAGATGCTGTCCCCAAAGACACTCCCTTCTCAGAAAGTTTCCTGCCTTTTTTTCTTTTTAGTACTGTTCTTTTAAGATAATACTCAATAGCCAGATTCTGCAATCAGGTGTAAATACTCCATTCAGTAGAGTTACTCTAGATTTATATCAATATTAATGGAAGACAAAACTCTGGCCCAAATAAAACAGCGTAAGAGGGCCAGTGGGAAATTTTCCATCAAAATCTGTTTCAGCAAGGAATGTTGACTTTTAATTAAAAAGCCAAGCTCACACAACTATAACCTTGTGACTGAGAAACACTACATGCCTCATGTAAATTGTAATTCATGCATCTTACACCCCTATTTTCAGTCACGCTCATTATTTTCTGGGTGGGCTACATGAGGCACCATGAGGGCTCAGCAGGGAGATAAAAGTTCCAGCTTGAGTCTGGCCCATGGAGCAAAACAGGGCTTAGTCACCTGAACAACAACTCATACCTACCATGTTAGTGTTTCCTCTTAAATATCTGGTTTTCAGACCTAAGATTTTTATTTGTCACTGGGGAAAAAAACAAAAAAACAAACAAACAAACAAAAAAAAAACCATACTTTTTTCAGGTGAAAAAAAATTCTACATTTTTTCCAACCAGCCTGATGATTTAAAACTGGGTAACAAAAAATTTGCTCCAGAACTGAAACAATTGGCAGGTGATTTCCCTCTTTTAAGGAACAGGAGAAAGCTCCTATGAATACTGTATTTTATCTATCCATCTCCACCTATAGTTGTCTTTAGTAACCTGAATTTTTAAGACTATTTCAACCCATGCAGAGGCCCAGTCTAAGGCCTGTGCACTGCCTAAGTCCTAAGGGCCCTAATCTTACAGGAGTCCTCACAGGGACTTCAGTGAGGTTTTGTCACATGGAATCAATTGCATACCTGGATGCCTAGGCCTTAAATAAGATGCAGTGTAGGGCTCAGCTTTATCCTTTGTGCCAGACTCTGCCAAGGGGTGAATTTCCCTTGTAAGTGCATAAAGCAGCAAAATAAGCTTACATCCTATATACTCTACATTAAGCATTTACCATCCATGAGCCAGGGTTGCTATTCAAGGTTTCTCTTGCCACTTAGGCATGGCAACAAAAGCAGCTTTTTTACTATTATACACAGTATCGTATGGAAGCACTAAAAATAAAAAAAAATTTAAATCCTCTCCAGGTCCTGTCTAGGCAGAATGAATGTTCACATTTTCACTTAGCACTGCTTGCTTACTCGAGCCCCAGCTGTTCAAACCAATGCGTAAACTTGAAGTAGCAAAGATTAAGCCCCACAGCTGCGATGCATTTTGTGTTTTCTGTTTAGTTAGTGCCTGTGGGCCATTCTTGTCCCACACCAACAAGGACATCAGCTGATGACTATAATTGACTAGTGTTCTGCTACATTCTCAGTAGTCTAGTTTTCCTCAAACAAGGTCTCACCTTTAACTACCTTCCAGACCAGAAGTGCCTGTTCTTAGTAAGGATCAGTATGTTTGCATTTTCTTCTGCTGACTGGTTCCAAGTTCACATGGTATAAAACCAGTTCAAGAGCCAGCAGTTCTTCCTCACTGTGCAATCCAATTACCCCTGTCTAACAAGGCAAAGGAAAAAAAATGCAGTTGAAATGTTAGACAGAAGCAGTCCAGAGGTCTGAGAGCAGGGCAGGGAGTCAGCAGATCCTGAGTACTAAATCCTAACTCTATTTGTGGTCCTGGAGAAGTCCTTTCCTTCAGTTTCCTCATCTGTACAGTGGGGTTAATACTGTAGTATTATGAGGACTGACTGTTCAGCATTTGTATTATGACTGGGACACGGGTTGCAGAGAAAGAGGTGTCTCAGCAATTTCTCTCACAAAAACATTATTTCTTCATATTTGATCAGATAGATACTTGTGTTTTGTTTTGCCCTTAGCAACCACCCTCAAAGCCCTTTGGCAATATGACTTTGATTATACATGAAAAATGAACTCATTGAAAAAGTGTAATGAGGTCGTGGGTTAAATCATGTGACCACCCTAGCCTGCTACTGTGACAAAGGCAGGCTCTACACCTGATCCGTTTGATACTCGGACGCCTCCGAAAGGCTTTCAGAAAAGCTCAGGAAGTTTTCCTGATACTCAGAGCAAACAATCTCGAATCTGTAGTGTCTGAACTCCACTGCAAAGGTGCCGAAGTAGCAGAGGAAGCACATCACCAAACCCCACTGGATCCTGGCAGCATGCATATGGATCTCTTGGGCCATCAGGATGAAATCTGGAAGTGACCTGTCAAGGCAAATACTCCCAAGTAGCACTAGCACCAAATAGGATGAAGAATACTGGATTGATAGCCTCTTGCCTTCAATTTTATAGATAAACTATTGAGCAATGGCAATCAGCTTGCAATTAGAAAAAGGCTTTTAGTGAAGAACCAGGAAAAGGATGAATTGTCCAGGGTTCAACAGGCAGAAAATTAGACAGGCCTATCACATCTGCAAACCTGTCAGACGTAGCAGCACTTCTGATGAGGATAACAAGGATGCTGCAAATCCCACCTACGCCTCAGGGCTAGGGACAGACATTCAAAAACCCTGAGCCTGAACTGATTCAATCTTTGCAGGTTAGTCCAACCTGGCTAGGCTGAACTGATTTGTAACTTGATTTGTAACTGTGCAGACATCCCAGACATGCAGGCACATGCCTGCGGTGGCTCAAGCTAGAAGCTGGGGAGGCACTCCCTTCCCTTCCACAGAACTGAGCTAAGGGGGAACATGGCCAGACCCTGGCAGGATGCTCTGATTAGCCAAGCAGGGAATTGCTAACAGTGTTTATCACCCCATTAAGAAAACAGAGGGACATTACCAGCTACCTGTTGATTCTGCCTTTTGATTCAGCACAGACCATAGCCAGCATGTGGTCTGCTAGCTAATACACATATACCACTCTGCAAGGCAGAGGGGAGGGGGGGGAATTCCTGCTTAGCAAGGAGTGGTGAGGAGAGGGAGGAAGCAGTCTTCAATCTGTGCTGGAGCTGCAGCCCGGAAGCAGAGGGGAGGGGCCAGCTCTGCTGTGGAGCAGAGAGCCCTGCCCAGCCCAGAGAGCATGTCAGGATGCTGGGGGTGTCTGGTTTAAGTTAAACCAGGAAGGGGTCTGGGACAGACATTGCATAAACCGGTTTGCCCCAAAGCAGTTAAGTCTGATACTACATTCAACCAGGTTTAGCTCAAACCAGTTTCAGCCATTTTGAAACTGGTTTATGTGCGCTGAACATCTGTTCTGTTACAGGTTTAAACCAGTTTGTGTAATGTCTGTCCCTAGCCCAAGGAACTCCAGAAAAAGAAGGGAAGGACCAGCATCTATATTTTATGACTTCACCACTGTATTTACAGGTTGAAGAGCATTTGAAACCAGCCCTCTACAGGACCATCATGAAAATGATGTGGACATATCTACTGTACCCCTGCCAGTTTTCCTTGCTGTGTTGAATGCTGATGACATTGAACATTAAAATTTAACTCTCCTCTATTACACTCCAGTCCCATGTCCAGTTTGAAAACTACCAGGTTGTGGGGCCAATTACATGTGTTTAAAATATGTGGGACCCCTAAGAAGCAGAGGTTCTAGCCACATCAAGGGACTTCTCTAGTGTAACAAGGTCCTTCAACACAGAGTAGGTGAGATCTCCGGATTGCTTACGGACAACCTCTTGTCCCACTGCCTCTTCTAGAATACTGCTGTGTAATCTTCACCTTAGTAAAAACTTTGCAAGTTCCCCACTGGTAATGAATAGTCTTCTACACAGCTTCATGCTCAGATTCATCACAAAAGTAAGTTAGAACCTATTTCTCTGGCCTGTATTTACCCACTGAAAACTTTATTTTCCAGTGCATAGAAATGGTCCTCCCTCCCAAAAGGCGGTCTAAAACTAACATTTGTCCAATACAAAGCTACATAACAAATAACTGAAATCACTGAATTCTGTCAAGCTTTTATCACAATCAAATATACCTTGAAAAATTTTCCCCCAACTTTATGCTGTTGAGAAGCAGTCACAGCTCACATCTGAGTAAAATAGCACTGAACACAGTGGGTGCATCTACACGAGATGCTGATTGCACAGTAGCCAAGTAATACTGCTAATATGTTAACTGCACAGTATTATTAGGCTATTGCGCAGTAGACTACTTCAAAGACATTTATCGGCACTACTGTGCAATAACTCCGGTTACTGCGCATTTATTTAGTACTTGCTTATACAAGTACTAAATAAATGCACAGTAACCACTGTGAAGTAGCATCTCATGTAGATGCACCCACTGTGGCCAAAATCAAGTTTTAAAATGTTTCCAGCTTTCTCCTCCACTGTTCATAGGATTGTTTGAGAACTGTGCTCAAAGATAACATTTGCTCCCTGCAAAGGAGCAGCTCAAAGCCAGTACCTCAAATTCTCCAAACAGGACTTTTATAAGTGGCACTTCAGTGCTATATAAATCTTGTGCTATAAGCCCTCTGCACAGGAGAATCACCTGGTGTGAAGTAATCAAATTCCAATAACATTCAGCATGTTAGGACATGAGTTTCTACAGATTTGGAGAGTACCTCAACACTGACTCACTGCATCTACGGCAACAACAATTTTCAAAAGCCCCTCCAAACGATGGATTAATGTAGTTAATTAAAATGTTCTTTTGCCAGACCCAACTTCCTGCAGGCCCTTGGGCAGAATCTTATACCAACCATAGGCATCCTCTTTTAAAACAGAAACCACTGGAAGAAAAATATGCAAGCATCTAGTTTGGCAAATTATCAGCAAGACATAAGCAAAACCATGAGCCAAACCCTTCCAAAAAACAAACTTCAGTAGCTGGAAGTGGGGTAGGCTATCCATTTTGGCACCAAACTGGTATACTTCTCAACTCTGGGTGAGTATTTTCAGAAGCGACAGATGACTTTTGGAGTATACAGCCAATGTCAAAAAATGAGCAAGGAACACAAATTTCATTGCGAGTAGGAGTCAGTGGTCCTCTTTGAAAATGACCGAAAGAACTGAAAATAAATTGTTGATAATTTTACTGAAATAAACCTATAGAACATTACTTATTTCTGTTCTTATCTTTTCTTCTTTTCCTATTTTTCCCCAAGATATTGCAAAATCTTAAATATTGCTCTACATAATGGTGTAGTCTTGTTGCTTTATTTGTCTGATATTAGATACCGCTTTATGGTAAAACAGCTTCTAGAATGGTTAATAAGTGTTCAAAACCCCTTTTGTGGCCTGGGAAATGATATCTGCTCTGAACAGGAGAATTTAAAAAGTTTAGTTACAGCTTTCATTGGCTTAGTTTCTTGACAGGAATGTGATGACAATCCAGGAGACATCTCCTGTTATGCCGCCTCTTACTGCAGTGTGGAACTCATGTATACTGATGCTGTACAAAGGTTAGAACATGAGTTAAAGCCCCGTGACCTGGTGATGAAATCACTGCCACTAAGGACTACAAGAGAAACTAATATGGTCAAGGAAACAAGCAGAATGGGAAGGAAGGCTGAAAGAGGGAGGGCACAGCATTGCAGGTGAAATACTCAAAACCTGCAGAGAAAGTCTAAACAAGAGGATTGTAGTTGATCAGCTGAGGCTGAAAAGGCACCAGGCCCCCGAGTCCTCAAAACATTCCAGGTTCCTGACAGCACTGTACTATGTCCTTACACTTATGCATACACATTCAAAGTAAAGCTCACCACTGGGTGCATTAGACTACAAGCTCACAAGATGCATTAGACTAATCTAATGTGCAGTAAAGAATCACAGTCCAAACATGCATGGCAATTACTGCACAGTAAGTTACAGTCTAATGTACCATTTTCTAGTACTTGTAGATACAGGTACTAGAAAAACAGTGCATTCACTAATGCACCGTACTACATGTATAGACACTGACCAGGAGCAAGTTGTTCCTGGTCAACCTAGGCAGCAGGGGGCCACAGGGGTAGGGAGAGCTGTCCCAGCTCAGCAAGATACTGCCTCCCAGCCACATGGAGATTGGGATACGTCCCAATCTCTACTTGGCTGAGAGAGAGCTGTCCACCCAGCTGGGTCACCTTCCCTTTCTGCCCCCACTGCCACTCAAGGCCAGCCCAATCTCCCCTCGGCTGCTGCAGGGGGGCAGAGCAGGCATGGGTAACTGGTGCCTCCCGAATCTGGGGGGGCACCTGCAGAAGCCACCAATAGCACTGGCGGTAAAAACACGGCTGGCGAGCATCCATAGAAGCTGCCAGCGGCATCAGCAGCAGGGGCAGGGCTGGCAAGCACCCACAGAAGCTGCTGTTGGCAGCAGGGGATGGGGCTGGTGAGCACCTGTGGGGAAGGGGGGGCCCCCCGGCCCACTAGCCCCACTGGCCCTTCCAATGGCATTGGCCATCAGAGGGGGCAGGTGCACCCCCTACCAGTCACCTATGAGAGCAGGGCAGGAGTAGCCCTGCACTGAGCTGCTCCTATTGAGCTCAGTTTGCTCCTGACGGGCGCATATGTAGACATGCGCTGGGGAGCGCTTTAATGAGCCTGTATTTTCTGCGCAGAAAATTCAGGCACATTAAGTGCACATGTAGCACCCACTGAAGTGCTCGCCTGAATTTGCCCGTTAAGAACTATGGTATTCAGTACACAGGAAGTTCTTTCCAGGTGTCTCTCTTATTGGGAGGGTAAGCAAGGTTCTTCTCCTTTAAAAGAGATGGGATATCTAAGCTACGGAACAATTCAATGACCGTCCCAGGTCTCACAGCAGATCACTAGCCAACCTGCAAACAGAACTCGCATCTCCTCTGGACATGGTTTTCAAAGAGTAATCTCCTTTTGGGCTCCACTCTTCCATCCCTAACAGACTGTAGGGTGTAACAAGTATGCATTCAGGTGACAGGACTGATGCATCTTAAAGCCCTTGGAACACACAAATGTATGCATCCAAATTCCATCACATTTTCTACAGAGACTAAAGAACTAGGTCATAAAGAGAAAACTCCTTCACTCTTTGAGAACTCAAATCCAAGTGATGAGGGAGGAAGGGACTGTGTTTTGGTTACAGGACATGGACACAGCCTCTGTTCCTGTGTAAGTGACCTTGGGCAAGCCACCATCCCTCTGTGCTTCAATGTCCCTGTAAAGTAGGAAATCCATCCTCAAAGACTTCAGGGAATCAATATCAAGCAGAATTCCCTGGTGCTCATAAATGCTTGGAGAACACAGGTTTTACAGGACTCTATTAAAACCTCTACTTCAGTGATAGGCAGGCTTTTATGCATAGGCACCTGTACTTCCAGCCACAAGACAAAAGGATACAAAGGACCACACACAGGGTTATAGTAGCAGATAAGAGGACTCGTGGGATTCCAACTTTTCGTCCTTCATTCTTTAAGTTTATTTTGAGCGTCAAGGCAGACTGAATCCAGCAGGCCAGGGTTCCAAAACCAAATGTCAGGGAGGTGCCAACATTATGTATCTCTTCATCATTGGAAAGCTGTAGAATAAGAGGGAACTTGTGAGCTTCTAATACATCAAGCACCATTTACAGAAATCTTCCTGATGATCCTGCTGATTTGGGAGTGAAGCAATAGGCAAGAAAAATGGTGAGATGTAGCTACATAGGAACATAGCTTTAACTGAAAAGAAAACCACAAGCAGGACAGTGGTTTACAGATTAGGAACAGCTACAAGCAGATTTTCCTCCCATAACAAAAAGCACTGGAAAATGCCATGTCCTGCAGGAATTTCTGTCCTCCTCCTACCACCTGTCAGGCAAGGAGAATGGATCTCCTTCAGAAAGTCCTTCCCCTGTTCTATATGGTGATCAGCACATACTGGGACAATTTTCTGGAACCTTGGCACTGCTGAATTAAAAGTTACTACTGGCAAAGCCCATAGGCCCGAGCCCTGCAGTGAAATAGATGTGAGCGGGTGGAGACTCACTGACTTCAGTAGAATTCTAGCAGGCAGAGTAGCCTTTTGTTTAGAGCCTCCAGTGTTGGGCCATAGTTATATAATCACTCTTGGGTCTCAATGCCTTCAATTAGGGAAAGCCAAGTCACGTGAATTGTAACAAGCAAGGCAAAGGAGCCATGAGCAGCCTGGCAAAATGAAGCTGTCACCTAATTTCTTAAAGCAGCTCATTGGCTTTGGGTGCCCAACTCCAACTGAAAAGGGTACGTGTATCCAAATCATCCATGAAGTTTTGAAAAAAAAAATCTGAGCTTTTATCTATGAATAGTAGGGCTGCGCAAAATGGCTATGTTTTGTTTTGGTTTTGGATTTGGCTGTTTTGGAGGACAGTAATTTGTTTCAGATTACTGTTTCATTTAGATTCAACCAAATCTGTTTTGGAGTTTCAACGTTGTTTCAGAGATTCAGATAGGTCAGGGAGAGGCAAACGCAACTGGGCAGCTGCAGGTTCTCCCGCGGCTCCTCCGGCTGCGCCTGCCTCTCCCTGGGCGGGGAGAGCCACAGGAGAAGCCCCCATGGCTGCCCTGCCTGGCCTCAACTCCTGCCTGGCCCCAGCCCACCGGCACTTTAAAATGAGGGCTGCAGGGCTATGCCAGACTCTTCCCGGGGGCACCTCCAAAACATTCCAGATGGTTTCGTTTAGTTCTGGAGCCTCCTGTTTCATTTCGGATTCAGCATTTCAGGCGCTGAAATGGGCTGAAACACCCCCAAAACAAAACGGCTGCCAAAATTGAAGCCCTAATGAAGAGAGATTCACTTACAGCCAATCTGTTTGGGGAAGTTAGTTGCTATACCCATAGTATTCCAAAGCCAGTCAGATTCATTCTTCACTGAGGAAGTCAATGCAGTCTCCACAAAAGAGAATCTAACCCATAACCCTTTGGGTTGATCAATACAAAGGCTGTGGCTCCTATTCAGAAAGGCAGAACTGGACCATTCACTTATTTTGCAACCAAAGTGCTTCAGTTAGAAGTCCACTTTCCCTGACCTCAGAAAAGAAGCTTCACTTTACCCCCAACTATCACAGCTCTCTCCTGCATGGAGCTCAGGTAGCCAAAAGTCAATCCATTTAAACAAAAGTCTAGGGTCCGGGTGCAATACTACCACTCAGCCTCTTGCATCTGTGATTTCAGACTGGACGAGCATGCAACCAGGGCGGAGGAGCTGTGGCTTCACTGCACTGGGGGTGGCCAGCCTGTGGCATGGGCAGTGTGTGTGGAGCACATGAGAAACTGGGGAGGGGGAAGGCAGCACAGTGGTACATATGGTAGAGAGCAGAAAGCAGAGGAGCCCATTGGGCAAAGGAAGGAGATCAGTGGCATGGCTGTCAGAAAGGTTCGCCCCAACTGCAATATAAAATACATACGCAGTGGTGAATTGGTGACCTGACCACAAATAGTCTCCGCCCCTTTCACCCAAATGCTGCTACACTGACCAACAGGGGACCAACCCCAACCCTTGCAGGTCTTCTGGTGAGCTTAGGTGATGGAGAAGGTCTTATACCATGACAGAGGGATGCTTTCTCCCAGAGTGATTCTTACAAGAGGTAAATACTCCTCAATATGTTCTGCAGTAAGTGCTAATTGTCTACTGGCCTCACACCAGCACCAAGAGCAAGAGAAAACAAAATGCAGAGCACAAGCACCCTAGTTCACTAAAATTTTCTGGTCCCATAGTGCTCACTTTGCTTAAGCATAAAGGATTATGACAATGCCAGGAATATCTCCTGCCATTAGACTCAGGCTCTGAGTTTTCACACCTTCCTTAGCAAGGACCAAGTGCCAAGGTGGTCATTACAAAAGTTGGTAGTATAGTCTGAATACCCATTGTAGACAAAGCCTTCTCATTACAGGTAAACTGAACAAGGATTCTCTAGTACGAGCCCCACCTCCAAGGCTGTCACTACCCCCAGAGAAGTTCAGCTTTTATCGTCTCTGCTATACCCCACCTTTGTCAGGAGTTCAATCATTTCTGGGCAAAATCTTTGAGAAAGTTCCAGGCACCTGCAAAGTCAGGGTTCAGATCAGGATACAGGCAGTTTCAGCAGCACTGACGGATGGACACCTCTCTTCCCCATGTGAACGGTAAGCAAACTAACAAAAAACATGGCAGACTGACCAAGTCAAAACAGCTATATCAAGAGAATTTATTCAAAAAAGCTAAAAGTTAAAAAGACTCCTTCAAGTCCACTAGGGATTTGTCTATTACAATCAATTTCATGTGGAAGACAATATATGATGGGCAGTAGTGCCAAACAGATAATTAGAAAGATAGCTGGCTCAGCCACCAAGGGACTGAGCTGCCTTTGCTGTGGTGGCCTGCAGCAGATGGAACTCTGTCCCTTAGCACAATTCTTTTCCAGACACTCTTGAATGAAAGCCATGTACAAATTAGATTTTATGGTGTTCTGTTTCAGCAGTAGAGCATGGAAAGGCATGTACAATGATCTAACGATGATATGTTTTATAGGACTGTGGCACAAGATCTAAGCAAAGATGATGTCAGCCAATGAAGTGTGGCATTATTAGAGCAGAAATGACTTGTTTAGAGATGGATACAAGCCTCTTGCCAACGTAATGGATGCAGACCACGCAACACGCCCACAGCCACCCAGGAAAGAACCACATTGGCTACCAAAGAAAAAGAGGAGGAACTGGGAGCAAGATACCTGAAAGTTGCCAAGTAAGGTCATTCCAAATGAGGCCAAGCATAATACGACCAGCCCACTAACATTCAGCCAAGGGTTTAGCACCTTTGGCTTCAGCTGTATGAAACGGAGAACTGCAACGACAAGTGCTGAAGAAGAGAGAGAGAGAGAGAGAGAGAATGTGAGATAGTTATAAGCTCATCCTGTTCAAACTGTATGAGTAGCACCCAGGGTTAATTGCAGGAGATGAGATAGCACAGTAAGCCTCTCTCATTAAAGTTGGGTGCTTTTCTTCCTTTTTCCCTCTCTTACTTCCCTGCTTGTTTCTCTGTGTCACTTGCTGTTCTTTGTCTAAACAGTCTAGGCTAAAACTCTACTGATACCACATCTTATATGTCAGTCTATTAAACCGCTAGTATACTGTGCTAGTGAAATATGCTGGATCTTGGCAATGGACACGTCCCTGTCTTCACAATGAAATAAACTTCTGAGCTAAAGGGATTGGTCTCCAGAGAAGTCATTTTTTGGTCCGCTCACTTCTAGCCCCATCTACTGTATTTTCGTGCACATATCCCGCAGGGTATACACGATTTTACAAAAATGGATGGGTGCAGGCTATCGACAGATATTTTCCCCTGCAGGGC